AGCATTTCTGAAATTTTGTTGTGAAATATGGATTTTGATAATATGTGATATTTGATATTATGTGTCCAGTAATATGTCCCTCTGTACTCTGAACTCTTTCCTAAATACCTTGGCAGGCACATACATTTAGGGTGCCTGGAAATGTGGTATCTGCATGAACATAGAGTCACTGTGAGAAAGGCAACTTCAAAATAATGCCCAAAAACCTGGAAATATACTTACTAGGATTATCTCCCAGTAAAAAAAGAGACAAGTTTTGCAAAATCACACCTCTAAGATGCATCACCTCATATAATACCCTGTAAAAACATTAATTTAGGGCACCCACCCATGTGTTCTTTCAAATAACTACACCATCCCCTCCTGATGCTGCATGCACTGTCAGTGGGAAAGCAGCTGTCCAATAAACCCCAAAGGAGGAAACTGTAGGTGGGTGCTACATATTCTGCTACATGTATATATTATTTTTTATTTTAAAAGTTGGATTAAAAGGATAAATATAACATACAAACAGGATAGAACGATTCTTATTTAAAAATTAAAAATTGCTCATAAAGGTGGGGGTGGTGATGGTGAGATTAGGAGCAGCCTGAGGGAGGAGACAGACATACATAGAAGCCAGTTGGGGGCAGCGGCGGTGTGGTTCAGAGCAGCTGAGGGAGCTGACAGACCAAGAAGTTGGGTGGGCAGCGGTTTAGACCAGCTGAGGGAGACCAGGAAATGAGCAGAGCAGTTTGGAACAATTAAGGGAGACAAACTTGTCTGCCAGTTTGCCCTACTGTGGTGGCTTGCGTGTTGCTGTGAGGCTGAAGGCTATGTCACTGGTGTTTCAAATGCCAGCAGGGTACCCATGGTAGATAAGTTTCTGCAGAGCTTCTAGACTTAGACGGACTTGGAAGATGCAGAGGGCATCCACTTCTCAAACAATTGGCCAGTGGAAACCTTATGAATAGCAGTGAAACACTGTCTGATATATTACTGGAAAACTTTATGAATAGCCCTGTAAACGATAGTGCCAGAAGATGAGCCCCTCAGGTTTGAGGGCACCCAAAATATGGCTGGGGAAGAGCTGCCTCCTCAGAGTAGGGATGACTTTAATAAAGTGGATAGAGTAAAGCTTTTGGGACCTCCATCTGCTGATGTGGCACGACTCAAAATGAGAAAAAAAAAAAAAAAACAGCTGCAAACATCCATTAATAATTGGAACATGGGATGTATGAAGTATGAATTTAGGAAAATTGGAAGTTGTCAAAAATGAAATGGAATGCATAAAGATCACTATCCTAGGCATCAGTGAGGTGAAATGGACTGGTTTTGGCCATTTTGAATCAGACAACCACGTGATCTACTATGCTGGGAATGACAAATTGAAGAGGAATAGCATCGCATTCATCATCACAAAGAGTGTTTCAAGATTTTTGTAAAGTACAATGCTGTCAGTGATAGGATAATATTCATATGCCTACAAGGAAGACCAGTTAATACTAGTATTATTCAGATTTACACACCAACCACCAAAGCCAAAGAAGAGAAAATTGAAGATTTTTACCAATTTCTGCAGTCTGAAATTGACCAAACATGCAATCAGGATGTATTGATTATCACTGGTGATTGGAATGCAAACGTTTGTAACAAAGAAGAATCACCAGTAGTTGGAAAATACGGCCTTAGTGATAGAAATAACACTGGAGATTGCATGATGGAATTTTGCATGACCAATGATTTATTCATTGCAAATACCTTTTTTCAACAAGACAAACAATGGAAATACATGTGGACTTCACCAGATGGAGTACACAGGATTGAGACTGACTATATCTGTGGCAAGAGGCAATGGGAAAGCTCAATATCTTAAGCCAAAACAAGACCGGGAGCAGATTGTGGAACAGATCATCAACTGCTCATATACAAGTTCAACTTGAAGATAAAGACAATTAAAACAAGTCCACAAGAGCCAAAACAGGACCTTGATTGTATCACTCCTGAATTTAGAGACCATCTAAAGAACAGATTTCATGCATTGAACACCAGAGACCAAAAACCAGAGGAATTGTGGAATGACATCAAGAACATTATCTATGAAGAAAGCAAGAGGTCATTAAAAAGACAGGAAAGAAAAAAAGACCAAGATGGATGTCAGAAGAGACACTGGAACTTGCCTTTGAACAGAGAGTAGCTAAAGCAAATGGAAGAAATGACATGATAAAAGAGCTGAACAGGAGATTTCAAAGAGCAGCTTGAGAAAACAAAGTCAATTATTATCATGAAATGTGCAAAGACCTGGAGTTAAAAAACCAAAAGGGAAGAACACTCTCAGCATTTCTCAAGTTGATAGAACTGAAAAACAATTTTAAGCCTCGAGTTGCAATACTGAAAGATTCTATGGGCAATATATTGAATGATACAGGATACATCAAAAGAACATGGAAGGAATAATCAGAGTCACTGTACCAAAAAGAACTGGTCAATGTTCATCCATTTCAGGAGGTGGCATATGATCAAGGTGGCTTGGTAAAGTGGAGGGTCCACGAAAAAGGAGAAGGCCTTCAATGAGATGAATTGACACAGTAGCTTCCTTCAATGATATTGAAGGAAGAAGTTGAAGCTCCACTGAAGGAAGTGGCAAGAAACAAGGCTCCAGGAATTGATGGAACATTCATTGAGATGTTTTAACAAATGGATGCTGTGCTGGAGGCACTCCCTTGGCTATGCCAGGAGATTTGGAAGGCAGCTACCTGACCAACTGACTGGAAGAGATCCATATTTGTACCCATTCCAAAGAAAGGTGATCCCACAGAATGTGGAAGTTATTGAACATTATAATTAACATCACATGCAAGTAAAATATTACTGAAGATAATTCAAACAGTTGCAGCAGTATATTGACAGAGAACTTCCAGAAATGCAAGTTGGATTTGGAAGGGAATGTGGAATGAGGGATATCATTGCTGATGTCAGATTGATCCTGGCTGGAAGCAAAGAATACCAGAAAGATGTTTACTTGTGTTTTATTCACTACGTAAAAGCATGAGATTGTGTGGATCATAAAAAAGGGAATTCCAGAACACCTAATTGTACTCATGAGGAACCTGTACATAGACCAGGAGGCTATCGTTCGAACAGAACAGGGGCATTCTGGATGGTTTAAAATCAGGAAGGGAGTGCATCAGGGTTGTACCCTTTCACCATACTTATTCAATCTGTATGCTGAGCAAATAATCTGAGAAGCTGGACTATATGAAGAAGAACATGGCATCAGGATTGGACTCATTAATCACCTGTGATACACAGACAACACAACTATGCTTGCTGAAAGTGAGGATGACTTGATGCACTTAGTGATGAAGATTAAAACTACAGTCTGCAGTATGGAATACACCCCAATATAAAGAAAACAAAATCCTCCTAACTGGACCAATAAGCAGCATCATGATAAATGGAGAAAAGATTGAAGTTGTCAAGCACTTCATATTACTTGGTTCTACAATTAACACCAATGGAAGCAGCAGTCAAGACATCAGACGACGTACTGCATTGGGCAAATCTGCTGCAAAAGACTTCTTTCAAGTGCTGAAGAGTAAAGAGGTCTCCTAGAAGACTAAGGCGTGGCTAACCCAAGCCGTGGTATTTTCAAGAACCTCATATGCGCGTGAGAGCTGGACAATGAATAGGGAAGACAGAAGATTTGATGCTTTTGAGTTGTGGTGTTGGAGAAAAACACTGAGGGTACCATGGACTCTCTGGTAGCATAGTGGCTAAAGCACTTGACTGCTAACCAGAAGTCTGGCGGTTCAAACCCACCAGCCACTCCTCGGAAGGAAGGTTGGGCAATCCTACTTCCGTAGTGATACTGCCTCGGAAACCCAAGGAGGGGTCGCTATGAGTCGGGGGTCGACTCGACGGCACATAACAACAACAACAACAACCATGGACTACTAAAAGAACTAACAAATCTGTCTGGGAGGAAGTACATCCAGAATCTCCTTGGAGGTCAGAATGGCCAGACTTTGTCTCACCTGCTGTCAGAGGGGATCATTCCCTGGAGAAGGATATCATGCTTGATAAAGGGGAGGGTCCACCAGAAAGGAGAAGGCCATCAGTGAGATGGATTGACACAGTGGCCGCAATGATGGGCTCAGGTATAGCAAGGATTGTGAGGCTGGCACAGTACCGGGCAGTGTTTTGTTCTGTTGTGCATAGGGTTGCTATGAGTTGGAGGCTACTCAACAGCATCTAACAACAAGAACAACATAAAGGCAAAGCTTACATAAATAGTAATTCAAGATTTTGGAGTCAGGTTTGGTGTTAAATTCAAAGAAGATTTGTAAAGATGTTCTAAAAGTTATTCTTCTGATATCTTCCTCTTATAGATAAAGTGTCTGAAGACTAATAGCAATAATCACAAGAGAAAAAAAAAAAAACCCACAGTTTCCACTGTACTTCACAAAAAGTGTCCATGATTCCTCTCAAATTTAGCCAATGGAGACCCACATCCTAAACTTTCGTAGCATTTACTATTGTGCACATATATTATTTCATGTTATATAGATATGTGTATATGTCATCTCTCAAAACAAACCAATTTCCGTTGATTCCACCGTAGAGAGACTCCAATGTGTCAGAGAAGAAGTATGCTCCACCAGGTTTTCATTGGCTGATTTTTTGGGAAGTAGATAGCCAGACCTTTCTTCTGAGGCACATATGGGTGGATCTGAATTACCAACCTTTCTTTTGGTTAGCAGCTGTGCACATTAATGTTTGTAGCATCCAGGGAATCCTTTCTTGTCATCTCTACAGCTGGGTAATAAGCAGAGGTAGCCAAGAACCTTGTCTTTACCTCTTCCACAATGTGTAACAGTATGAGTTCTAAAAAATCTCTTTGAATACATCTGTGGAAAATGGCCTGGCTTATTTTACTCCACTTCCTGACATGTTTATTCAAAAAGTAAACGTTATCAATGTCCGAAAGCAATATGAAAACTGAAAATGCATTTTCTTACCTTTCTAAATTCACTCCAGACACGTCTTTCCTAAATGACTGAAATATTTTAGGAAAACCTGTTGAACAAACATTTAAAAATTTAGAAATTCCTTTGAAATCAGTGGCCCTCAAGCAGTGAATTTTTCTCCCAAGGGACAATTAGCAATACCTGGACACATTTTACCACAAAATTTGTGTGTGATGGTGTTGCTACTGACATAGCTAGGCAGAGGCCACAAGATGTTGCCGTTGTTGTTGTTGTTATGTGCTGTCAAGTCGGACCGACTCATAGCGACCCCTCCTTGGGTTTCCGAGGTAGTATCACTCCAGTAGTAGATTGCCCAACCCTCCTTCCGAGGAGTGGCTGGTGGGTTTGAACCGCCAGCCTTCTGGTTAGCAGTCAAGTACCTTAGGCACTACGCTACCAGAGCTCCTACACAAGATGTTGCGAAGTTTTTGTAATATGGGGAACAGCAATCTGCCCTCCTCCTCCCCACAAAAAGAGTTATCTGACCCAAAATGTCATCCGTGTTGAGAAACCTACTCTAAATGACTGCTCTGCCTCTCTTTTAAAGTGACTGGAGTGCTTTCAGTACAGGAAGTTAAATACAAAAGTGAGTAGGAAGTGGTGGGGGTGGCAGACACAGGTATAGGGACTGTGGGAGGTGTGGGGGCGTGGGGGTAGAGGGTTGGTGGGGGTGGTACATATATTTAGAAACAAACACCGCTTAGGCAAAGGCTCTGGGATCTGTGGACCACCTTCCGTCTGGAGAACAGAAAGCCGACAAGGTCGGCACGGGGTAGGGCAACCCATACTTTTCTGGGACCCGATGGTCGAGGTCCAGCTGGAGCTTGACGTCTTGCTCCACGTCGGGCTTGAGCACGGGCTGTAGGGTGGCGTCGGGCTCAGGCTGGGGCTGGCGATGCTAGTTACGCGGGGGGCGAAGGCCAGCCAGCCTTCTTCACCTTTCTCGATAGCCAAGACCTTCAAGAAGTACTCATAGTCCAGCATCTCAGGTGCTTCGACCGCCTTCTCCTCTTTATTTCCCGCCTCCTCTGCCTTCCCCGCCTTCCCCGCTTCCTCCGCCTCCTCCTCTTTCTCTGCTTTCTTCATCCCTTCCTCCTCCTCCGCCGCCGCCTCTTCCTCTTCCTTCGCTGCCTTGTGGTCTTCGTCCTTCTCCACCGGCTCACTGGAGCTGCGATGCGGGAGTAAATTGGCCAAGACGGGCGAGAAGTGGGGTCGCGGTTGGAACCGCCGCAGTCAGTCCCAGTCTGAGAGCGCGCGCTGCTGTCGTGCGTCCGTCTCCCGGCAACCGCAGAGCACCTCAGAGCTTCCGGAATTTGAGCTCCGGAAGCCCGGGTACAGTGTGGGCGCCTGGAGACGGGCCGCTGCAAAGGAGCTGCCAAGCGGAGAAGGAACCACTGCAGGCTCCTTTCCGCCCTTGTTCTCCAGGGTGTTAGAGACCCCTGACAGCCTACCGCGAATTACTTACCTATTCTCCCTGCTTTTGGATTCTGTTTTTTGGTGGGGTGAGGGGAAAGGGGACACCAGCTTCTTGCAATGGACCCCATAATATTACTTGGAATTGTGGATGCGGGAGTACGATTTTTATTGAGTAGATAGTTGCTTGATAAAACGTCCAATAAAACTTTGTTTACATAAACAGGTGATCAGCCTCTGGGCCATAGTTTGCAGATTTGATTTTTTACAATTGCAGGACCAAGAACTTACTCATTGCAAATACTGTTTTTCAACAACATAAAGGGCTAGTATACATGTGGACCTCACAGATGGGATACACAGGAATCAAATCCACTACATCTGTGAAAAGAGACAATGGAAAAGGGCAATATCATCAGTCAGAATAAGGCCAAATGTTGTGGAACAGACCATCAAAAATTGGTCATATGCAAGCTGAAGAAAATTAAAACCAGTCCACAAGAGCCAGAGTACCACCTTGAGTATATTCCGCGTGAATTCAGAGACTATTGCAAGAATAGATTTGAAGTGTTGAATACCAGTGACTGAAGAGCAGATGAGTTGTGTGATGACATCAAGGACATCATGCAGATGGGTTGTGTAAATGACATCAAGAACATCATAAATGTAGAAAGGAAAAAGTAATTGAAAAGACAGGTAAAAAAGAATAGACCAAAATGGATGGCAGAAGAGACTCTGAAACTTGCTTTTGAATGGAGAGTTGTTAAAGCAAATGGAAGAAATGATAAAGTACAAGAGTTTAATGGAAGATTTCAAAGGATGGCTTGAGAAGACAAAATATTGTAATGAAATGTGCAAAACTTGGAGTTAGAAAACCAGAAGGGAAGAACAAATGAGTACCATTTCTCAAACTGAAAGAACTAAAGAAAAAATATATTCAAGCTTCAAGTTGCAATACCAAAAGATTCTATGGGCAAAATGTTTAATGACACCAGAAGCATTAAAGGAAGATGGAAGGAATATACAGAGTCACCATACCATTTGTCATTTGGTTTAGGAGGTAGCATACAATCAAGATGAAGCACTTACTGATGAAGATTAAAGATTTCAATCTGCAGTATGGATTACATCTCAAAATAAAATGAAAATCCTCACAAATGGACCAATAAGCATCATCATGATAAATGGTGAAAAGATTGATGTTATCAAAGATCCACAATTAACACCCATGAAAGCAGCTATCAAGAATCAGACGTCCTTTTGCACCGGGCAAATCTGCTGCAAAAGACTCCTTTAAAGTGTTGAAGAGCAAAGATGTTACTTTGAAGATTAAGGTGCACCTAATCCAAGCTATGGTATTTTCAATTGCCTCATACCTGACTCAATGGCAGTGTTTTGTTTTTGCATATGCATGTGAAAGCTAGACAATGAATTAAGAAACCCAAAGAAAAAATGATGCTTTTGAATTGTGTTGGTGAAAAATACGGAAAATACTTTGGACTGCCGGAAGAATGAACAAATCAGTCCTACAAGAGTGAACAGATCAATCCTGGAAGGAGTGCAGCCAGAATACTCCTTGGAAGTGAGGATGGCCAGACTTTGTCTCACCTGCTATGGTCAAGTTGTCAGAAGGGACCATTCCCTGGAGAAGGATATCATGCTTGGTAAAGTGGAGGGTCAGTAAAAGAGGGGAAGACCCTCAACAAGATGGATTGACACTGTGGCTGCAATGATGGGCTCAAGTACAGCAGGGATTGTAAGGATGGCACAGGACCAGGAAGTGTTTTGTTCTGTTGTACAGAGGGTTGCTATGAGTTGGAGCCAACTGGACAGTACCTAACAATAACAATATACAATCAAGAACAAATGGTATTGAAGGAAGAAATCTAAGGTACACTGAAGGCACTGGTGAAAAATGAGGCTTCAGGAATCGAATGAATACCAATTGAGATGTCTCAACAAACGGATGCAACACTGGAAGTACTCACTCTTCTATGCCAAGAAATTTGTAAGACAGCTACCTGCCCAACTGACTGGAAGTGATCCATGTTTGTGCCCATACTAAAGAAAGGTGATCCAACAGAATGAGGAAATATCGAACAATATCTTTAATATCACATGCAAGTAAAATTTTTCTGAAGATAATTTTAAAATGGTTGCAGCAGTATATTGACAGGGAACTTCCAGAAATTCAAACTGGATTCAGAAGAGGATGTGGAACAAGGGATATCATTGCTGATGTTAGATGGATCTTGGCTGATAGCAAAGGATACCAGAAATGTTTACCTGTGTTTTATTTACTATGTAAAGACATTTGACTATGTGGATCATAACAAATTCTGGATAAGAATGAGAATCCTAGAACACTTAGTTGTATTCACGTAGAACCTGTATGTAGACCAAGAGGCAGTCATTTCAATAGAACAAGGGGATACTGCAAGGTTTAAAATAAGGAAATGTGTGCATCAGGATTTTATCTGTTTTAAATCTCTAGTGCTGCTCTAACAGAAAATACCACAAGCAGTTTTTAGAAAATGGGGATTTATTCTCTTGCAGTTTTGGAGGCTAGAAGTCCCAGTTCAAAGTGCCAGCTCTAGGGGCTGCGTGAAGGCTTGGTGACCTTGGGCTTCAGCTCTGCAACTTGCTTCTGGGCCACTGGAGCTGGATGTGTCTCTTAACTTAGGCAGCTGCTGCTGGCTCCTGAGGCTGGACAGACCCAAGGTCGGCAAATAAAATGGCACAGTCCCAAGATTGTCAAGCAACATGGCAGGCCACTCACTGATGACTCGGACAAATGCAGGATCCTTATGTGCCAAGAAGCTAGAGACCTTTCTCAAAGTTTCTTAGATACTGGAAGCAGACCACATCCCTAAGGCAGCTACTCAGCTGCTCATAGTAGGTTCCACCATAGAGTTGATTACCAGTCTCATCCAGCTATCCAACAACTCATAACCAGGCCCAGCCAAGTTGACACATAACAACTACCACAGTATCTTTTCACCATATTTATTCAATCTATATGCTGAGCAAATAATCTAAGAGGCTGGATTATATGAAGAAGAATGTGGCATCAGAATTGGAGGAAGACTCACTAACAACCTGGGATATGCAGATGACACAACCTTGCTTGCTGAAAGTGAAGAACACTTGAAGCACTCACTGATGAAGATAAAAGAGTATAGTCCTAAGTGTGGATTACACTTCAACATAACGAAAACAAAAATCCTCACAACTGGACCAATAGGCAACATCATGATAAATGGAGAAAAGATTGAAGTTGTCAAGGATTTAATTTTACTTGGATCCACAATCAGTGGCTATAGAAGCAGCAATCAAGAAGTCAAATGAAGTATTGCATTAGACAAATCTGCTCAAAAGACTTCTTTAAAGTGTATAAAAAAAGATGTCACTTTGAAGACAAAGGTGCACCAAGCCATGGTGTTTTCAATCACCTCATATGCATGCAAAAGCTAGATGTTGAATAAGGAAGACCAAAGAAGAATTGATGCATTTAAATTATGGCGTTGGGGAAGAATATTGAATATACAATGGACCGGTGGAAGAGTGAACAAATTTGTCTTGTAAGAAGTACATCCAAAATGGTCTTTAAAAGTGAGGATGGTAAGACTTTGTCTCAGGTTCTTTGGACCTATTTTCAGGAAGGAGCAGTCCCTGGAGAAGGACATAATGCTTGGTAAAGTAGGTAGCAAAAAAGAGAAAGACTGTCATAAAATGGATTGACACAATGGCTGCAACAATGGGCTCAAGCATAGCCAGGATTATGAGGATGGTGTAGGACCAGGCATTGTTTTGCTCTGTTACACATAGGGTTGCCATGAGTTGGAACTGACTCAATGGAACCTACAACAACAACAAATAGTATTTATTTTAAATAGTTTTTTTTTTCTTTTTGCCCCCTTTACATTTTGCACCCAAAAGGAGTGCCTCACTGTAGTTCTGGTTGTTCTTCCATCCATCCATCCTTGAGGTGAAAAAGGGTTGAGGCATCTAGCCACCTTGGTACCATCTGAGTCTTTCTGGTCTGGAGTCTTTGTTTTCATCTCATTGTACGTAAATGTTTATAGTATATTTTTATACATACTAAAAGAGGAGCTCTGGTGGCGTAGTGCCTAAGGCATTTGATTGGAACCAGAAGGCTGGAGGTTCAAACCCACCAGCCACTCCTCGGAAGAAGATTGGACAATCTTCTGCCTGGGAAATCTAAGGAACAGTTGCTATGGGTCAGATGCAACTCGATGGCAGTGAGTTGTTTTTTTTTTTTTTTAAAAAGGTATACAGATTAATATAATGAACATCTGTTTACTCACTACTTGAAACATACACCTTCACTGTAGCCTTCTACTCCCTTTCACCTACCTCTCAGGACTAGGAGTGATTGTGTTCTTACTTGCTTGCTTTCTCCTCTGTGGTAGTTAAGTCTGTGTGTCAACTTGGCTGGGCCTGGTTGAGTGGCTGGGCAGCTGGATATAGTTATTCCCCATGGTGAAATTAGTAATTAACTCCATGGTGGGATCTACTGTGAGCAGCTGAGTAGCTGCTTTAAGGATGTA